GACTGTGCATGTCCTTGGTTGACCATAAATTGTGTGGCATAAGTTACAGTTTTGGATTAGTGTGTCTCACCGTGAGACTTCAGCTTATGCCTATCACTTACTCATTGTGATCTTGAGTCTTCTGTCCTGACTGACTCAGCACAGCCAGAATCTAGTGACACTGCTTTAGGTGAAGTTCATCATCCTTTACCCCTACCCCCACACTAAACCTCTCTCCTGGTCAACTGAGGACCTCTCCCATACTCCTCCACAATGTATCCAGAGGGACCTCATATTGACTGAAGCCTTCTCTGCCATGGAGACACAGAAACAGAAATTTTCAAGCCTATATGCTTTCCAAGTCCCTGAGCAGTGCAAATGGTTAAAATACTTGGCTTTTAACCAAAAGGTTGGCAGTTTGAATCCACCCAGAGGCACCTCAAAAGAAAAACCTGGCAATCTACTTAAAAAAAAATCAGCACTGAAAACCATCTGATGCATAGTTCTACCCTGGCACACATCGGGGCCCAATGAGTCAGAATTGACCCAATGGTTTTTGTTTGTTTTGCCCAATGTTCTTTCCCTTCTACCACCATCATCATAAATTAAAATTCAGAGACTTGGATTGCATCCTGGGCATGTCCCATTTACTTGGCTGTGAAATGTTGAACATGTGACTTCAAAAATGGAGGTTCCGGGAGATTTCTGCAAAGATACATAGAAGAAACTGGACTATGTGAAAATCAGGTGAGCTTAGACAAGAATACTCACACACAAAAACAAGAAACAAAGAACCTCGCTGCCATCAAGTTGATTCCAACTCATAGAGACCCTATAGGACAGAGAAGATCTCTCTTTCTGGGTTTCTGAGACTAACTCTTCACAGGAGTAGAACGCCTCACCTTTCTCCAGTAGACTAGCTCGAGGTTTCAAAGTATGGATCTCTTTGTCAGCAACCCAACGCATAACCCACACACCATCAGGACTCCTCAATGGAATACTACACATCTTTAAAGAGTAATGATTAAACCGTGAGATACTGCAAGGCATGGATGGACTTAGAGGACTTTATGCTGAGGGAAGTTAGTCAAGCACAAAGGATGAATATTTCATGAGATCATTGTAAAAGGAAAAAAATCAAGATAAAGGCTTTTCATACCCCAGGCGATAGACTTTGATCACGACTAAGGGTGGGAGGGGAAGAGAAGAGAGGGAGAGCAAGGACAGAGGGTAGATAGGTGTGAACTAAGATGAAAATATTCTACAAGAGGAAGAAGACGAGAAGTAGGGGTCCGGGCAGGCTATTAGGTAGTTTGATAATTTGCAAAATATAAAAAATGATGATTTGAATGTCAACCCCAGTTAATTCACAATAAAAAGTTGAAAAAAAATTGGTGAGATTATATCAGGCCATGTATCTGTTAGATAGTGATTTACATTTGTTGCATTGTTCCAATCAGTAACCATGAGCCAGACCTTTTACTGGGTCCTCCATTTTAAAAAAGAAGTATTTATTCACTATTTAAATAAATTAATCAATTTAGATAAATCAATTTAAACAATTCTTAAGTTAACCTGATGAATCAGATACTAATCAAACACTTCCAGGACAGCGACTTTTTAGTTGTAACATTTAGAATTTGGGAAATTGCCTAAGAAATAGCATCAGAGTGGAGTTTGAATTCTTGAGAATATGAATCTCAAATGGAAGATTTGTGGGTGTCATGGAGCCCCATAGAGATATTTCTGAATGGGGATCCCTTTGGCATTCCTCTGATCATGTGGTATGAACAGACATCATGTTCCTTCTAAGAGCTGCATTGCTAGCTTTCAATCTTAGAATGTTTTCAATAATTAAAGCTACAATAAATTCTACTTCTCATCTCTATTCAATAGTATCTCTCCCCAAACTACTTCACTGGAATTTTCAAAAGTCCTGAAAATACTTTGGAGAAATAACTTTTCTTCTCTCACCCTCTATCTCTGATGTTACTCCAAGACCACTTTCCCAAACACTAGCTGGCGGAAGCAGATCTAATGCAGATGCGGAGGGAGAGGCAACCGCTCCCCATCAATCAATTCTAACTGTGTTCAAACATGTTCAGTATGTGGGCTCCTTGATCACTTTCACTGTGTGGGACACGAAATGCAGGGAAATGATTATTGGCACAAAAGGGGAAGGCTGTAAATCTTCAAATCAGATACAGGACAGATTGGAACAATATGGGTTCTCCAAGGTTGCCATGATAATGTCCCTAATAACTCTTCTTGGGCAAAAAGGCAATCTGCTTTCAATCAATCTCTCTTTTTCTGAGTAAAAATACCAATTATGTTGAAGGAAGGTTTCACACACACCCCTTCCTTTTTGATAAAGACTGGTCTCCACCCCAGAAATCATGCTATAGCTAAAAGATATATTTTCAATTGTCTAGAGTAGCATTGGGTAACTAGCACCAAATGAGAAAATGTATATATATATCCTTTTTCTGCTTTCTTGCCAGCATTTGTCTACTTAAGAGAAGTGAAAGCTAATTAAAGACTTAAGGGATATTATTGATTACATTGGAATATGCTTTATTGTACCCCACACATTTTCCGCTAAGAGAAGCCTGGTTCCTTCTAATAAAAATAAATCAGCTGGCTGAGCTTTTGATTCAGGGTCAGAGGGGGAGCTGATCTCCTGTTCTTTCACTTCTCACACATCTTTCCCTGGATGAAGGATTTCAGAAGAGCAAGAGGGAATGTTAAAAGATACCCATTTACTTCTTTGCATACAAGATGGAAAGGATGCATATTTAGACCTTCCCAGCCATTGATTTGAGTTCAGCTTTGAATAATAACCAAGCTTATTCTGGTCCAAAACTTGGAACTTTACAATGCCTGGTACAATAGCAAGAGATTGGCAGGGTGTTCTTAACACTCAGTTTCCTTATCCATTGAATGGGGAAAAGTAACTTGGCCAGAATTGCAAACATCTTTGGTGGCAGAGCAAGATATCAGAGCTGGCACCCTTTGACATCTAGTCAACCGGAAGAAACCTGACTGTATATGTGTCCTGTTAGGGTGACTATCAGCAGGATTCATCTTCACCTTGATCTCAATCTTTAAAGTCTGTGGTAAGGAAGCATTAGAATTGTGCCAAGTAGCTCCATTGTTGGGTGTAGAGTAGTTGTGTCCAGAGGGAGATCTTGCTTTTGAATCACTTTCTGAGCACACTGAGCAAACTAAGAATCAGAAATTTTATTCAGTACATGAAAATTCATTTACATTTCATTTTGTCCAAAAAATGTACACACACCCCAAGAAACATTTTAATATATGACATGACAAGTGTATATATAACCTATGTGTTCAATTTATATTGTGTATTTTGATATACGCTGTATGTCACATCCACACAGTAAAGACAGAGTCACAGTCATGTAGGTTTCATGCTGAAAACCTAGATGGAAGTTATACAAGTGCCCTAAACCTTGCAGGTAGAGGCTAGAGAGCAGTGACCATGCTGAAATGCATCTTCTGAAGGAGTTCACTGAGATCCCCTCTTCCCCATGATGGCCTCCACTTGCCTGATTGCTAACTGCACCTCTGTAATAATAACAGTTCACCCTGGTGATATTATTAACTGCACCGTGCATATTATTGATTTACTCTTTGTTCTGCATGATTATCCTTTCCCCAGTGAGTGTACTGCATCATTCACACACACTTAGTCAAGCACCAAATTACAACAAAAGGGCAGGCTCTTGTAATGGCACCTAATGGAACATTGCATAAGCAATCATCACTGTCTTCTATTATGAACTGCCTCCAGCCAATGAGCACTCTGCCTGGTTGGGATGTGCGTGAAGCAATTAGGAAGTACAGGAGACCTGGCCATTCTAAATTTTACCCAGCACATTACCAAATTCCATATGCACCACCTGTCCATGCTTCTAAGACCAGCCAAGTATTCCACCCCTGTCACTATCAGCCTGAGTGAGCTAGAGATCTGCACTTAGCCCCTCCATAAGAAGCCAGTGAGTTTCCTAATCATCATTCAGTCCCTGCCTTGGTCTTGGGGATAACTCTGGTACCAAAGGGGTTAGTCAGAATTATGTAGCAAATATAAGCAAGTGGGCACAGTAGCTGCACAAAGAAAGCACCAGATTGGTCTCAAATATTGGAGGGACTGGTGCTGTTCTGGAAGAGGTTCTCATATTCTCAGGGAACACCGAATACCCATCTCTAAAATTCGAAGCCCAAACTACTCTAGAACAAAGTCATTGATTGATGCCTTCCTGACTTCTTCCCATCTTGGAAATCTCAGGCACCCTAAGGAAGTAGTCCTCTGGGGATGTGTGGACTTCCCGCCTGAGCTCCAATTCCATAGGCATCGCATTTAGCCCTGAGTAATGCTCACTTACTGTAAAGTGTTGGCCCCATTGTCAGAGGAGTTATGGCAGAAAAATGCAAAATTTTCTTTTTACTGCTTATGGCCAGCAGAGCCTATAATGTGTCAAGCTGCGCATTAGCCACCCTGATAAAAGTCTGCTCTCTTACACACAAAATCATCATTTCAGCAAGATTTGTTATCTCATTACCTGATAAGCTCTATGTCATAAACCAAGACTCATACAGTAAATCTCCCGGGAGGACACTATGTGGGCAGAGAGGGAGAGATATGAATCTGCAAGGGGCTTGATAATGCAGCATTTAAGTACAGGCATAATGTCACTTATTGTTAAATGCATAAAACCACTTGGCCAAATGGTTGGGCTTTTAATAAGATTTTGTGCAGCATCAGGTGAGGAGCCATATGCCTTTTCTGTCTAGGAGTAGCTAAGCATCTGCTAGCCCTCCTGCTTTGCCTAACAGCCCTCTCCAGAATGGAAGGTGGGATTTTTAGAGGCCAAAGGAGGGAATGGATGCTTCCTCTGCTGCTGCTGCTGCTGCTGCTGCTGCATGTCCTGTCTTGCCAGAGGGTGGGGTGCTGAGGCATCACTGGCCCCAGTGGATCTAACTTGCTCTTTTCCATGCAGGCACATTGTGGTCTGTGGACACATCACTCTGGAGAGTGTTTCCAATTTCCTGAAGGACTTTCTGCACAAGGATCGGGATGATGTCAATGTGGAGATTGTCTTTCTTCACAAGTAAGAGGCTCTTGGTGTTTATAAGCCCTCAAGTCAATCATATGCCCATCCCTAGGAATGAGAATGATGGTGGCCCGCATTGGGGGGCAAGGCAGAGTTGAGTAAGCTATCCTTTCCGCTGACATTGTTGGAGAGATGAATCTAGAACTAATGAAAAGGAAAGCAATCACTAGCTAAATGAGGAGAAGAGAGTCTGCCTCTGGGGAGGCATTCTGAGACCAAGAGTCTGCCTTCCTCTCTGAAAGAAATATTGGTGAGGTTCCTTATTGACTGTAGACATCATTGTAATCCCTCAGCAGCTTAGGTCTGTCATTTGATCCAGGTGGATGCAGCATCTGGCTGCAAGAGATGATTAGCTGTGTGTGGGCAATTTGAGGATGCGGGAATGAGATATTGAACAAATCAGATACATATCAAAGAGGGAGCAATATGTAAAGTTGTAACAACAACTTCCATTTCTAGAAATCTCCAGTATGAGGAGCTATGCTGCCTTCATTTCATTAGCAAAGGGAGTAAGTGCACATAGTCTGGACTCAAACAACTTAATTTGAATCTTGACTGAACAAGGTGCATAACCCTCTGACACTAGTTTCTACATACATAAAATGGAGAGATATCAATGGTTGCTAACTTGTTGGGTTGCTATGGGAATGAAGTAAATTAATCTATATAAAGTGTGCAACAGAGACCTTGAAGTGTTCAATAAATGTTAGATATTATCGTACGAGATTAAAGTGTACTGGGCAGCATGACTAATGTAGGAGGCAAGTCTTACCGTGATTTTACAGATATCGCCCAAGGTGCTTGAGGTTATTAGCTATGTCTCAGGGTACTTTGCTGAATGAGTGAAGCATTTGGGAACTCAGACATCTTGGCATAGGCAATACTATCTTCTCTTATAGAGATGGGTTATCATGGGGCCAAACTTGGTGCAGTGTTGTAAAGGCAAAATTCACATGGTGGTGCTGGCTCTACATGGTGTTAACTGCCTTGAGCTCAATGCTGAGAAATTAGAATCCTGGTTGGCTTCAGTGCAAATGTCTTGTTCTATAGGACCCTCTCTACCCAAATCTGCTCACAGAATGCCTTGGAACTTGGGGCTTCCCAGACTTCTGATTTGCCATCTTGTTTGAGAACTAACTTTTAAATTTTTTTCTTAGAACTGACTTCCACATATTTAGACCAGAGTATGGTACCCACATGTCCAGTTCAATACGTCACCACTGATCATCAGCAATGGTGCCTATCTCTGCAGAATATTTTGGAAAGTATAAGAGAAGTATATGTAGGTTCTACCCCCATATGTGTAGGGAATCTAAGATGGGAACATATGAAACATGTGCTTAATTAGAGGAGTATTTAAGACCTTGTGTTAGCCAAGTTTGTCATGCTGTGGTGGCTTGTGTGATACTGTGATGCTGGAAGCCATGTCACTGGTTTTTCAAATGCCAGCAAGGTCACACAAAGTGAAGAGGCTTCAGCAGAGCTTCCAGAATAATAACAGACAATGAAGAAGTAATGGGTGGGCCACTTTGAAGGAAGTAGCTGCTGAAACCTTATACAAATTTTAAAAACATGGTCAGATACTAAAAGCCTAATGAATAGAAACAGAACATTATCAGAGATGGTGCTAAACGATGGGCCTTTCAAGTCGGAGGTCACTCAAAATTTGACTGAGGAGGAGCTGATATCTTGGAGTGGCGTCCACCCTGGTGACATAGTCGGGCAAAGCCTCTGGGAGTAGAGCCTTTGGGATCATCGTTTGCTGATGGTGCAGGACTCAAGATAAAGAGAAACAGCTGCAAAAATCTGCTAATGCTCAGAGCTTCCAATGTGAGAAGTATGAATCTTGGAAAACTGGAAGTCGTCAAACATGAAATGGAACATATAAAGATTGATATCCTACTGAAATGGATGGGTATTGGTCATTTTGTATCAGAAAATTATGTGGCTTACTCTGCCAGAAATAATACAATCAAGAGGAATGGTGTCGCATTTGTTGACAGAAAGGACATTTTACAATCGATTTTGAAATACAGTGCAGTCTGTGATCGAATTATATCTCTTTGCTTTCAGGGAAACCCAATCAATACAACTATTTGAATTTATGTACCAACCACAAAAGCTAGTGATACAGAAATTGAAGAATTGATAATTATTGTCAATTGTCAATATGATCTTGGTAATAGAAATGAAGATGGAGATTGCATTATAGAATTTTGTAAAACCAACAACTTGTTCATAATAAATATCTTTTCTTTTCAACAACCCAAAAGTTGACTATACACATGGACTTCTCCAGATCAGAACACACAGATATCAAATTGACTACATCCGTGGGAAGAGATGCTAGAGAAGTTCAATATCACCACCTAAACCCAGGCCAGGGACTCTCTATGAAACAGATCATCAATTACTCATATGTAAGTTCACACTCAAGGTGAAAAAAATTAAAACTAGGCCATGAGAGCCAAAATACAACCTTGAGTCTCTCTGACTTGAATTTCAAGAACATCCCAAGGATGGATTCTCTGCATTAGACATTAATGACAGAAGACCTGTTGAGCTGTGGGAGGACATCAAGAACATCAGTAATAAAGAAAGATAAAGGTCCTGGGAAAGACAGGAAAGAAAGCAAAGAGTAGCTGAAGCAAATGAAAGAAATAATGAAGTCAAGGAGCTGAATAGAAAAATGTAAAGGACAGCTAGAGAGGACAAAGCCAAATATGATAATGAGTTGTACAAAGACCAGAGGGAGGCCTTTGCACAAGAGAAAGAGCCAAAAACCCAAAGAGAAGAACACACTCAGAGTATCTTAAATGGAAAGAACTCAAGAAAAACTCAAGCCTCGAGTTGAAATATTGGAAGGTTCTATGGACAAATTTTTGAGGGCCAACATACTGAATGATTCAGGAAGCATCAAAAGAAGATGAAAAGAATGCATGGAGTCACTGTACCAAAAGAACTAGTCAACATTCTACTGTTTCTGGAGATAGAATATGAGCAAGGACCAATGGCGCTGAAGTAAAAATTTCAAGCTGCACTGAAAGCATTAGTTAAAAAGAAGGTGCCAGCAATTGATGGACTACCAATTGAAATGATGGACTACCAGTTGAAACACTGGAGGCACTTGCTCCTCTACGGCAAGATATTTGAAAGACAGCTACTTGATCAACTAATTGGAAGCAAGCCATGTTTGTACCCATTCTAAATAAAGGTGACCCAAGAGAATGCTCAAATTATAAAACACTATCATCGATATCACACGCAAGTAACATTTGACTGAATATCATCCAACAGCTATTAGAGCAGAGGTTCGGGCCGGATTCAGAAGAGGACATGGAACAAGGGATACTATGGCTGATGTCAGATGGACCTTGACTCAAAGCAGAGATAGGTGTTTGCTTGGGTTTCATTGACTATGCCAAGATTTCATACTATGTGGATTGCAACAAACTATGGATCATCTTGTGAAGAATGGGAATTTCAGAACACGTCATTGTCCTCATGAGGAACTTTTATTTGGGTCAAGAAGCAGTTGTGCAAACAGAACAAGGGAATGCTGCATGTTTTTAAATCAGGAGAAGTGTGCGATAGGGTTGCATCCTGTCATCATTTTAATCAATATATATGCTGAGCAAGTAATCAGAGAAGCTGGATTATATGAAGAATAATGTAGCATCAGGATTGGAGGACGTTTTGTTAACAACCTGTGATATCCATATGACACAACCTTGCTTGCTGAACATAAGGAGGAACTGAAGCACTTGCTGATGAAGATGAAGGATTGAAGCCTTCAGTGTGGATTACAACTCAATGTGAAGAAGACCAAATTACTCACAACTGGACCAATAGATAATAGAATGATCAGTGGAGAAAAAATGGACGTTGTCAAGAATTTTGTCTTACTTAGATCCACAATCAATGCTCATGGAAGCAGTAGTCAAGAGACCAAAATGACGAGTTGCATTAGGTAAGTATTCTATACAAAACCTCTTTAGAATACTGAAAGCAAGAATGTTACTCTGAGGACTAAAGTGTGCCCGATCCAATCCATGGTCTTTTCAGTTGCCTCATGGAATAAAGAAGACCGAAGAAGAATGGTGGTGCTGGAGAAGAATATTGAAAGTATCATGGACTGTTAAAAAGACAAACCCACCTGTCTTGGGAGAAGTACAGCCAAAGTACTCTTTAGAGGCAAGGTTGGCAAGCCTTTGTCTTATACATTTTGAACAGGTTGTCAGGAGAGCCCAGTTCCCTGAGAAGGACATCATGCTTGGTAGAATGGAGGAGCAGCACAAAAGAGGAAGACCTTCAAGGAGATGGATGGACACAGTGGCTGCGACAGTGGGCTTCAGCATAAGGACAATTGTGAGGGTGGTGCAGGACTAGCCAACATCTTGTTCTGGTGTGCATAGGGCCACTATGGGTCAGAAATAACTTGATGGCACCCAATAACAAACACTAACGTCAGCCAATGCACGCTAAGGTCCATTTAAGTGGAAAAAAAATGGCTTCTAGGCTTGGTATCAGGGAGAGATCAGTGCTGTTTAGGAGGGCCGGTGTGAGGAAGAAGTGTGAGCTGGAATAGACATTGGGAGATTGGATGGATTTGTATGGGCAGCTGGTTTTCTAGTCTCCACTGCTTTCTTCTGAATACAGACACTGGTTGCTTGTGGTTCAATGACTGGGGTTCACCTGGGTTCCTAGCATATACTGAGGTCAGATTTGTTGTAGATATCCCCATTAATTAACTTCTGGAAGCTTTCGGTTAATAACAATCATTGCTCTAGGATTGTTTTGAGTACTAAGTAATTGCCAAGTACTTAGAGCAGAGTCTACTACAAAGTATACATACAAAAATGTTGGTGTGTTTTTATTACTAAATATGTAATCCATCTTGGGCGATTTTTAAATAATTTCAAGAGCGCATTTATTAAATCTTAAACAGGACAAAGTCAAAGACATGTCATCTGGAATTAGGAGACATTAGCACGAGGCCATAATGGCGTCCAAGTGACTGTGGAGATGCAGCGCTTTTAAAAGGATGTGAGAAGGCAAAGGGAACTGTCACAAATGCAAGACGTGGCAAATCAAAACATCACAGTCAGAGTCCGGTCTTCCAGAACAGGAATAGGACCATGATTTGATACATATATTATGTTAGACAGAAGAGCTTTCAGGGTAACCTTGACAATCAGGGTATGACTCATAACTAAGTGAACCCCCTTCACCCCAGTATGGTGATCTCCTTCAAGGACAGACCTAGAAAAGCCCTGAAGGCAGACTGCCCTTGCCTGGGCTGGCTGGAGTTCGGTGGAAGTGAGTGCACATTCGTTCAGTGCCCTCTGAATCTTGGACAATAGTTGACTTAGCATTTGACAAATTAAAGAATCTTTCCATGGAGTTGATTTCAACTCCTAGGACCGAGTAGATCTGCTCCCTAGGGTTTCCAAGGCTATCACCTGTGTGGAATCCAACTGTCATATCCTATTATTCTTCTGTAGAGTGTGTGGCAGGTGCTAACTAGCAACCTTGCAGTTAGCAGCTGAGCATTTAACCACGACGCCAGTAGGCCTATGACTTGATACTTGTCGTTGTTGTTAGTGCCCTCAGGTTGGTTCTGACTCATAGCAACTCTACACACAACAGAAGGAAACACTGCCAAGTCTGACTCCATCCTCACAATTCATGTACATATTTGGTACACCAGATGTGTGGATCACGTATGTGCAAGATAATCACAGAGAAAGACAAGCTTGTCTGTGGCCTCTCAGAGGTGATCTTTTTGAGCAAAGCCGTGAGATATGAGAAGTCTGTGAAGAGGAGAAGCAGGACAAGGGTATTTAAAGCAAAGGGAACAGACAAAAGGATGGGTTTCTTTGGAAAATCTTTGATCAATCACTAATGCCACAGTCTCAGTTTCTCTATTCCAAGTTTAAGGCTTTCAATTTGCTGTAGGATGCAAAATTTGCAAAGGTCATGGGCACTGGTTTTGTTGTTCATTTATCTTGAGTTCTCTTGAATGTGAGCTTTGTATTTATGGCAAGAAGGGGAATGACTTGGAAGATGAATGCTCCTTCCAGGTTTTCATTGTGGAAATTAGTGGAGGGAGGTCATGGAGACAGGCACAGTGGAGTCCGTTTTGTTAATAGATCTTTCCTCTCTCCCCACACAGCATTTCTCCTAACCTGGAGCTTGAAGCTCTGTTCAAGCGACATTTTACTCAGGTGGAATTTTATCAGGGTTCAGTCCTCAATCCACATGATCTTGCAAGAGTCAAGGTAAGGAAGAGGAGTTGGCTTCTGCCTTTACGTCATCTTGGGACAGAGGGCCTGAATCCGTGGTATGGGGCCATGTTTCTTAGGTTGGCCAAAAGGCATTTCTTGAATCCTAGTGATATACATCAAATACCACTAATCTTCACATTAGCATTACACTGGGCCTCCTGTACGCATTCCATACTTGACTAGTTATAACCAGCTAACCAACTACTGCTGAGTCAGCTCTGACTCACAGCAGCCCCCAGTTTGTCAGAGTGGAACTGTGCACCACCGGCTTCTCAATGGCGGATCTTTCAGAAGTACCTCAGTGGGCATTTCTTCTGAGGAACCTCTGTGTGGATTCCGACCTCCAACATTTCAGTTGGCAACCAATCACATTGATAATATGGATTGCCCAGGTACTTCCTGGACTAGTGGTGGCATTGATTGATTTTGGTGGTTCTTTCACTGTTTAGCACTCCTGAAAAAAGAAGATAAATTCAATAATTTCAAATACAACATAATCAAGTAAGTCACATCTTGAGAATTAATTTGGACTCAACGAAGCTCATACATTTTAAATTTACATCTACAAAGAACATTAAAGACATAGTATTATAGCATATAGTAGATTTTTAATAAGTCATAAAACATTTGAACTTCCTTTTTTCCCCACCAAAGACTCGATATACAAATGTAACATGCATGCTTCTGGTAGTATGCTTCTGGGGAAATCTGCCTTTTCAAGTCTTGCTTACAATCTTCTCCTGAAACACACTTGAGACGTAAAAAGGGAAAGGGATGCAACACAATGACATTTGCTGGTTTCTTACTTTAGATAGATTTTGGAAGCACGTTCAATAATTGCAAAACATTGGTATATTAAAAATTTATAGTATAAATGCTAGTTGATCACTGCATAATTTGGTAAACAATCTCACTGGTGAATATAAATCAACCAAAAAGCTTGGGTAGATTTTTTAGATTATTAAGGAAAACTGGAAGCAGTTTTTGATATACGAAGGTAAGTACGAAAATATTGCTACTAAGGTTTCAGTTCATCTGTGCATGGATTTCCCACTAAATGTTTTCAGGTATATCTGTGGAACTAGTAGATTTGTTGCCAACAAGTTCTCTCAGTAATACACTTGTCTTAATTTCCTTTAGGTGCCTTCTAAAAAAACTTAACATGCACTCCAAAAATGGTGTAATCAAAACAGTCACACCTGAGGTAATCTGCCAGGCCAGTTAAATTAAGGGGAAGAAAAAAAAAGTCGGCTCAGAAGTTCATGGTTTTAGGGACTGGACTAGATAGTGATAATATATAGCTTGACATTTTGTATCTTATGAAGGATTCTGTGATTTTTTAAAGCAATACTTTCTTGATTTACCTTCATGCTATGGAGGAAACCTTGCTCCCCATCAAATGTAGGAATGCTCCATTATGCTCAAAATCCCAAGTCAAACGGATTACGACCTGAGCCAGCATCGACTTGTTCTATTTATATAGTTCAAGGCATCTTCATATTATCCAAATAGTATCTTAATGTGAGGGATTATGCAATCATAAGATATATTTCATAGACCTAATTTAAATGCAAGTAATTACTAGCAATATCAAGGTCATGATCCCTTCTAAGATCTCTTGGTTCATGCTTACAGCCACTTGGGAACACAAGCAGTTATAATTTGGTTGCTAAACTGAAAGCTATTAGTTAGAACCCACCCAGCTACTTTGCAGAGTGATTTGTTAGGTAAAGAATATAGTAAAGAAAATTTTATAGAGCTGTTTTACTCTGTTGTATGAGTTATCCACCAGTCGGGATCAACTTGAACCTGGGTTTGGATTTTTTGTTTGACTCATGTTTAGATAAGTCAGTACATTCTATTTTGTGTTCATCTATAACACAACTTCAGACATATAGATACATTGTCTTTTGAAGTTATGAATAAAAATTAAGTACTGAACATTATGGACTTGCTATCTGATCTCCTTGTATTTCACAGATAATGAAAAGGGTTAGCCGGAGGACTTTGAAGTCGAAATTTCCAAATCCGCAGCCACTTAGCTTACCCCCTTTCTCCACTGGGACAGTTAGGATGATGGTGCAGTTAAATCACTGGGAAAGGAGGAAGGGAAAGGAATTAACTAATTGATATTTAAAGAAATCTAGAAAGACTATGCAAATGTCAAGCATAATTGTCAGGGTACATGTTGTACCCTCCAGCAGAAACAAGATGAAATGTTTATACCACAACAAGAATTTTAAGGATACACGTTTGACCAAAAACTATAAGCTTATCATGCTTCCCAGGAACTGTCGAGCGAGATGCTATTGATATTTGTGTTTTGTGATTTTCCTTTCGGTATCTTAGATAGAGTCAGCAGATGCGTGCCTAATCCTTGCCAATAAGTACTGCGCCGACCCGGATGCTGAAGATGCCTCCAACATCATGAGGTAACCTTGGGGAGGCCTTTGAGTCCTGGGTAGTGGCCATCTACTCTGGACCTTCTTGTCCACATTAAAAGAAAATTGTCTTAGAGTTGATGGTGACTCACGGGGTCCCCATAGGGCATTTGAGACTGTAACTCTTTATGGGAGGAGAAAACCCCATCTTTTTTGCTCAGAGGTGCTTGTGGTCTCAAACTGCTGGCCTTACAGATTGCAGCCCAACTCGTAACCATGACACTATCATTATCCTGCCACCTGAGAAGGCCCAGGGGCAGAGGATGTGATGGGTTAGAATGGCTTTAATATAGAGTGTGATCAACAGGAAGCTCACTGTTAACAGTTAGGAACTCTGGGCTTACAACTAGTATGGGGTTTCAGATACGTTGAAAGAGAGCACAAAAGGGAAAACACAGATTTAGATGGGCCCAGGCCCGTGTTCCTGAAGAGGGAGTGGACTGAAGCACTCCGTCAGGGGTTGATTTTCCTCTCCTGGAGCACTTGGCAATGTCTGGAAACATCTGTGGGTCTCAAAGGTGATGATGATTGTGGGGGCAGGGGGAGCAGCAGGGCTGCTTCTAGCATCTAGTAAAAAGAGGCCAGGTATACTGCTCAGCATCCTACAATACACAATATACCCCCTCACAACTGAGAATTGTCTGTTTGAGAAACACTGTGACAAAGACATGCCTAACTAGTTCAGACATTTTGCCCAGTGGCCCCTTGGAAGGCTTTTCTTCACTGGTATGAGCAGCAGTGTAGCTAAAAGAACTACAAAGGCCTAATAGAGAGAATATTCTGAAGAGGAGATGAACTGTGAGAAAACATTGCTCTTTCACTGGGTTTCCAGGAATCCTTGCTTCATTGTGAAGAGCCATGCTTCTGGTCTAGACAGAGATTTGCAATCCCTGCAGTTTGGTTACTGGGTCCTGGGAGTTTACCTGAGATTGAAGGTTGGAAAGTTGCCTTTGAATCATAACAGTACTGACATCTCTTTTGTCTTTGGATTTAATCGGTGACCCTAAGGAACAAGTGCTTTCTTTCCTCTCTGCCAGGTGGGGGAATTCCTCCAGTTTATTTCTGATGAGCATGCCCACCAACATCTGGAAGGCAACAGCTAGCCCAATGTTCCCTTTTACTAATTTTCTTTGGAAATGCGTTTAATCATAAACCAGACCCACCACCTTCAAGTTGACTGTAATTCACAGCAATCCTGTAGGGCAGGGTCGAACTGCCTGATAGAGCTTGCCTGGTTGCCAATCAGTATGGAAGTCGACTGTCTGCCACAACTTTCTCCTATGGAGCAGCTGGTGGGTCCCGACCTTCTACTGAGCAGCTGAACACTTATGCTTTGCAGCACTATGACTGTTATCTTAAGGAAGTTTACCAACGAGCTCTCTCTAAGTACTACTGGATTTTCCAGGCTGCGGAGAGCTGGTAGACTAGGGTCTGGCTTCACATTGAGGCCCCTGGTAGCCAGATATTCTGTAAGTATTCACAGCTTCGAAGTGACCATGCCAACATCTCAGGGTGCATCTTCTGCCCTTTCCTTGACCTAGAAATCCATCCTTCAATTTTAAGAGGCTTTCTCCCCTCAGAGCCAGATGAAATGATAAGAATACAGCCTTTAAGAAATTAGCTTCCTTATGTTCAGATTTTCAAGTGGAAATTGGAAAGAAGATGAATTATACGGTTTTTGGCCCCACAAAGAAGTTTGGGGCTGGCACAACTTTTTTTTTTCCAAAGTGAATAATATAAATGAGGGATAGTCTTGAAATGGACATTTATTTTCATCAAAATATTTCATTTACGCCAAGGCTGTGAACTGTTAATATGAAGACACAGATGCCAAGATGATTGGCATGATGCCAAGGGCAAAGGTAGCATCTGACTTGCAGTTAACCCACTCTTTAACCAGAACTAGGGCCCAAGGAGCAAAAGGACATGGAAAATTCGGGTTAAAAATTCTTTCTGTCTTCTTATTTGTATAAACCTCCTTTCTTCTTAGTTTAATGAGATCAATCTACCTTTTGGAAAGGAGCAAATGTTGTGCATTAATTCTAAGGATGTCAGGGGCCCACACAACACTTTTTCAAAAGCAAAATGAAATCTTTCCTGTGCAAGAGCGTCTTGAATTTGGGCAAGTGGGGGCTTCAGAGAACCGGATTCTGCAGTTTCTCAAGTTGCAGCTTTTCTGACTAAGCTGTTTCATGACTTCCTTTCCTTCATCATAGAAAGCAGGATAAGAATGATGTGTAGAGCAAGTCTTGGAGGGAAATTTGTGGAGTGGCCATAAAAAAGGCACTTCTCTTTCTGATTAGGCGTAGAGGGTGAGCCTTTCTGTAACATTCCGTTCTTTAGCTGTTCTTGCCACAGAAGGAAATGCGCAATGTCACCTCTGAGAGAGTCTGTAATGAGGAAAACCATAATTTCCATGTGGAGAGAGGATTTAATGATTTCAAAGCATTTTCACATCTGGACACTCATTCCAAGCCTGTGAAGTAAATAAAGCAGGTCCAGTTGTCTCCAATGTCCAGATGAGGAAATAGGCACAGTGAACGAGGGGTTTCCTGAAGGTCACTCAGTTCATTAGTAGAAATACCTAGGACGAGAGCCCAGGTGTTTCCACTGTGCCTGTTCTCTGCTCCTTCCCGGTGACTGCCATGGAAGTAGAAGAGAGGCTGAGAGCAAACCCCACCGCCCTCACTGCCAGGCGTCAATGCCATCTCACAGCGACCCGCTAGGACAGGGTTGAACTGCCCCTGTGGGTTTCAGAGACTGTAGACGTTCATGGGAGTAGAAAGCCCCATCTTTCTCCTGTGGAGTCACTGGTGGTTTCAAACTGCTGACCCAGGTGTAACCACTGTGCCAAGGGCCCTGAGGGTGAGAGCAGGCAGTGATTTTTTCCCTAGTGTAGATTTATGGACGTTTATGTGTGTGTACATGTTTCCACCAGCTCTCCGACTTCAGCAAAGCCTTGGTGGTTATCTCTGACCAGTGTAAAGTCATCATTCAGGGGCCTTTTGCTATTGAAGGCTGAGTCGAAGTAGGTCTTGTTGAAGATCCCTGCTTAGACACTATGTTGTGAGAATAACCACATGTGTGGCAATGAGAATGATTTGTCCTGTTGCTTGTCGTGGCTTGTCGTGGTCATCTTCAGTTGTTAACTTGGGGAATTGTGCTCCAGAGTGTGTTGTTTCCTGTGTTCATGCTTCAGATAGGAGAGATTAGGAACCCCAGGAGCCTCAGGAGTTTTGCTGGCTTTGAAAGATTCTAGGAATCCTGGTGGTAAACATAGAGGGTTACATGTCGGGCTGCTAACTGCAAGATCAACCCTCCTCGCTCCGTGGGGAAAGAAAGATTAGATTGTCTGCACCCAGAAAGAGGAAAGTTCTACTCTGTCCAATAAGGATCACTGAGTTGGAGTCACCTTGATGGCAGCCATTTTGGTGTTGATTTTTTGGTAGATCTCTATATAAGAAGTATGTATGTCTGAGCTCTCTCCTCCAAGACCCCACCCTCTGCCCTTTACACATATGTGCATTTACATCCATATACACACATCATCAAAGGGTCAACAAGACCCCTCCCCTTCCTTTTAGGCCCCGAACAGAATCTGGGGCTATTTTGTGATTTATTTTTCAGGGAGGATGAAATACAGTTTAACTTGGCCTCTTGTGCCAGCAACTCTTCTGAGTGGCCTTGAGTATTGACCCCACCTTTCTCTCACTTGCAGTTCATCAATTGAATCTTCCATCAGTGAACCTTTGGGTAAGGAAAATGTCTCACCTTTGGTTCTTTCTTTTTCTAGAGTAATCTCCATAAAGAACTACCATCCGAAGATTAGAATCATCACTCAGATGCTGCAGTATCACAACAAGGTAAGACAGTGAGAGCCAGTTCCAGACCCAAATATGCAGATGAGTCCAATTCCTCTCTCAGCACAGAGACACAGGCACACATGTGCACACGCAGGCACACACATGCACAACATGTATGTGCACACTCATACAAAAACACATATGCATGAACCAATGCAACTCAAAAGCAAGGGCAGAGGTACCTTGGGTAGAATATTGCCTACGCTGTGTCTTCAGGCCCGACAACTCGTGTATAGTTGGTCACCGAAAGAAAAGGCCCAATTCCTTCATTCAGGCCCAGAACATTGACATATTTTGAGGTTCCATCCAAACCAATTCAAACAACTGCCATTTTCATGGCCTCGGTCATCTCTCCTCTCAACGTTGATTGAATTCCTGATCTGAGGATTTCACTATAGTTTAAAGCACATTGGACACACACCAAGGAGAGACCCCATTTTGTGCCTGCAGGGATTTAACAGTTAAGTTGTAGAGAGTGCCTCCAGCAGGGAAGGTAACCTCTGTGCCTGCACCCTCGGTGGGGAATGTAGAACACTGTGCCCAAACTCAAGTGTGCATGTGCAAAATCAAATTTAGAAAAATGGTGGTTGATCTGGAGATTAAATATAAAGGAATTTTCTTAGTGTTATAGCTTATGATTGGGGTTTGGAGAGAAAATCAGTCAGATACTGCACTGGTTCCCTTGTGTTTGGCTTCTCACGGAGTTTAGCTTCTCAACCAAAGGCAATGTCCTTTCAGTACATCCCCAGGCAAACAGCTTCAGGGGAGGGACCGTGGCACTTTTTCCTGTCTGACTTGGAGCTGGTTATCTCCTTAACGAGGCTTAGAAACTGGAGGCAACTCAGTACCTAGAGCCAGGTGTCCTGCGTGAGCGAAATGACTCCCTGCTGGGTCATGAGTAAGAGTGGGCCTCAGCTTATAGGCCATATTCCCTACAAAATAGGCAGGCAGGTGACCCGGAGAAGACCCCCCCATCCTGCCAAATGCACCAGTCTCTTGCCATTATTTCTTAATTGCTGGCAAATACCGGCCCATTTTGCTGTGTGGAGGTGCACTAGAGGCCATTGTTGAGTGGAACCTGCTGTCAGTAACTGGCCTGCCATTGGTAATGACTGTCCATTGCCACCATTACCCCACCCTCAGCAGGTGGCTCCCTGCAGAATGTGGTGCTCTCCAGCCAGTAGGCTGGTGGTGGGCACTCAAGATGATATTCTCCTGTTTGCCTCAGAAAACTCAAGGACACTGAGGAGATAAAGTAAGGATATTAGGTAACTCAGAAGCTTTGGTGCAGAGAAGTGTATGTAATATACATATAAATGGCAGCCCCTGTAGGTCGATGTGAATTTTAATAACAAAGCTGTGGCTGGTGACAGTTTTGGAGGCAACAAGTTCTCCTTTCATGTATTCTTTGAAATTTCATTTGTTGTGGGAATGCTTTAAGTTTAAGGTAATGTTTAGATTTTTCGCTGACTTTAGATTGAATAGGGAAATCAGTGTTGTGCAATTTAGAAAGAGATGTAAGTTGCCTTGTCCTCCGTCCAATGCAGCACCTTCGAGTAATTAGGGAGGATTTCGCTCTGTGGTTCTTGTTAAACTGCAAGTCGCTCAACTGACCTAGGGTCCAGGTAAGACTTGGTCAGTATCATCATGATCATATAGACTTGAACTTCATTCACAAAACTCTGCATTGTAATTATTCAGAAAAAAAAAACCCAATGAAGACATCCACCTATCCATGGTGATTTGCTCAAAATACTTTTTTTTTTTAGAAGAAACCAATCTATTTGGATCTCAGGATTAGGTAAGATCAGTCAATTATAGAAATCTTGACCTTCATAAAAGGGTCACAAGGAAAGGATGAGTCAACCAGGGTGATGTATAGCACCAAAGAAATGCACAACATTCCTCTGGTTCCTTGAGACTTCCTCACCCCCACTATCATGACCCCAGTCCTGCTTTTCACTTCGGGCTAGACGGGAACATGTACACTGATACAGAGAAGAGCTCATGAAACAGAGAATCCAGGTCCGATAAACCCCTTATGAACAGAAATGGGAGTAGCAATACCAGGAGGGTTGGAGGAGGGCACCATAGTTCGATCCATCAAATCTTCTGTGGTCGTCCTTATTCATTGTCCCACTTTCACATACATCCGAGGTGACTGAAAATGCCATTGGGTGCACCTGAGTTCTCAATGTGATGTCCTTGCTCATCTACACTTTAAAGAGATCTTGTGTAGAACTTCTGCCCAGTGCAAAATGTCATTTGATTTCTTGACTGCTGCTTCCAGAGAATTGATTTTGGGTCCAAATACAATTACATCATTGATAGATTCAATCTTTTCTTGTGATATTATCATGATATTTATCATGAAATTATCTATTGGTCCAATATGGTTCAATAATGAGGGCCAAATAATCAACCAGGTCTTTATGGTGAACAATACCACTGGATGTCTGTGTTCCTTAGACAATCAACTATTCAAAATCAAAAGGGAAGCATTTGTACAAGTGCAAAGTTCATAAAGTTGGAGAGTTTAGAAAAGAAGGAAGTTTGAACAATGGAAAACATGGGGTAGAAGTGGGATGAGTGGTATTACATTGTGGGGGACTATAATCAATGACATAAAATGTATATGAATTATTGAGTAGAACACTAATTTTCTCTGTAAACTTTCACCTAATTCTCAATAAAATATATATATTTTTTAAGAAATTGAAAAGGTAAATGGCAGTGTCTTAGAAAACAGTACAAGACTATGAAGTAGAATTAAGAGAATCTACTTGTATTTTCACTAGAAATTAGATGTCAAATAATAACCAGTACACTTTCTCTTTCGTCTCTAGTAGATGAAAAATTGTCTGACAATGAAATGAAAGATAAAAAGTCCCCTTGTTGCTATTGTTAGATACTATGAAGTCAATTCTGACTCCAGGAAGCTGTATGTAAAACTTAACAAAATGCAGACTTCAAAGTCTTTTGCCAAATTCCTGGTGGTTGGTATGTCTATGCCCATTGTTACAGCTATTGTGTTAATCCATTTCGTTGACAGCTCTTTGGTGACCCTTAACTTGGCCACACAAGTTATCCTTCTCTAGCGATTGGTCTTTTAAAAAAATATTTCCAAAATCTCAATATCCCTCCTAGTCTTGAGGGTCACACCAGGCTCTATCTGACCAGGCAGTCTGGTCTTTTTCTATAATTTGAAGTTTTATTTCACAGTTTTCTTCCACCATATCTAGGACCTTCTAATATAATCCCTTTCACAGCAGTAAGAAGTAGAAGCCAGACACCATCCATTTATTCTCGTCTCAAGGTGGGGTAGAGCTTCATGTGGCCTTAGTCCTTTGGAGTAATTTCAGCCTTTGTTTTCCTCTTCCCTTTCAATATGTTGTCTTCCTCTCTAGCACCTTCTCTCCATCCATGACTAGATTCCTAGGGATATCCACATATTAAAATTTGTTTTTAAAAGGGAACTGATTCGTATGTGCAAAGTTTTTATACTGTGGATATATTCCAAGAAATGTTTCGCTCCACAATTGAATCCCAGGCTTAAAATGAACAGAATTCCATTCCCTTATGCTCTAAACATGATGTGTTTTAGGCTAGAGTGGCATAGAGCCTACTTTCGCTGCATGTAAAACTGGCTCTGAGTTTGTCATAATAATCACAGACATTTGCATCATATTTTATTGTTTTTAAATAGCTTTGATATCCATTATCTAATTTAGCCCTTGACCATCTGTGCATTTTTGCATCCCAGTGTGACTTCAAATCATGGGATCTAAGCTTTTTCACAGACAGAGTAGGCCTGGTGGGCACAAATCACGGTCACTTGGCAGCCAGCAAAATAAGAGAGAAATGCCAATTGCCACCTTCTCTATAATTAAAGCTATAGCCCTTTGAACCAAATGGTACTTTTTGGTGTTTCTCAAAGTGGAGATTTTAAAAATATATATCAATAGATTCATTAAAAAATGCTGGTGGTACAATAATTAAGCTCTTGACTGGTAGCTTCTAGGTTGCTGGTTCAAACCCCCCCACCCTCCCCTAGTAGTTCTGAGGGAGAAAGACATGACAATCTGCTTCTGTAAAGACAACAACCAAGAACATCTTCTCAGGCAGTTCTCCTCTGTCACATGGGGTCACTCTGGGTCAGAATCAACTGTGGGGTCAAGCTAACAACTGCCTTCAGTCTGCCCATCTCTGAACGCAGAAGGAAGGTGGTGCAGGCATCTTCTTTGAGTGTCACTGACTTTCATGACATCTCAGAAACGTATCCTTCCTGATGATTTAACTATTAGTGGACCTTTCTGTTTCCTGGAGACTCTAGTAAAATAGCCCCGCATCTCTGATTTGGAAGTCAAGTCCCATTGCTCCAATGGAGATGCAACTTCTTTGAGCTTTTTCACTATAAACCCCTGTAGTGGGTAAAATCAAACCAAGCACATTGTCAACAAGTCAGTTTTGACTTAGGGTGACCTCATGTGTGACAGAGTAGAACTGCTCCATAGGGTTTTCGTATCCCTGCTCTTCACAGAAACAGACTGCCAGGCTTTTCTGATGCGGTGCTGATGAGTGGGTTTGAATCACCCGTCTCTAGGTTAGTAGTTAATCACAAACCATTTGTGTGCCATCTAGGAGCCTTTACACTTGGGTGTTAGTATAAAAGTGTTTTCTCTTAAAGGACCTCCTTTAATCCTCATGATGACATTGCTAAGTTCATGTATGTGACGGAAGATGGGGCTGGGGCTGGAATTAATTTCTTCCAATTTCCCAGAACAGCGTGCTTTCATGTGCCTCTTCACTGAGGTGAGGGGGGTACGGGAAGGGAAAAGTTGGGGGGGGGGCTGGGTCTGCCAGACCTATGCTTTATCATTTTCAAATTAGAAATGGCTTTCTTCCAGTTTTGGAATGTTCCACTAGACACATATTTCCTACAATTGACAAAGGACAAAGTTTTCAGAAACAAAGACGTTGAGTTGCTGGACCATTCTCCTCTCTGGGCTTCATGCACACAGACTCCATCCATGCTTTTGGCACGTTCTTTCTGTGGTCCCTATTCTGTGTGATTAGATAAACTATGATAGTCATAAAGGCATCTGGGGAAGTCTGAGGAATGAAACCAATTGTACTTGACTCTGACATGTATAATAACTTGTAAAACATATCTAAAGGGCCCCAAATAGATGACAAGATGAGAAACCCAATCCTGAAAACCTGGATTCCACACACTTGATGGCGCATGTAGACATGGGAAACTCTTCTTCAAAAAGGTTTGACTGTTGGTTGATTGGTTTTAAGGTGCCATGAAAGTTAGGGTTTTAACCAGCCACATCTTCCTTTATACTAAATGATTTACTTGTTAATTATTTAGATTTAATTGCTTCCCTTTTTTCCACAGATGATGATAATATCAATGACCATTTATCCAATTAGACTGATGTTATTCCTGGACTTCCAGGGGCATAAAAGGGAAAACACAGCTTTCTTAAGCCCGTGGAGAGTAAAGAGAGAACTGGGTTAAAGGGTAGGGGTTGTTGAAATTGAAATAAATAAGTGAACAAGTCTTTAATACTCATCTTGACAGAAATGACCACGTGCTATGGCCCACACATTGAACTATTTTAGTCATGCTACCATCGAGTAGGATATAGTTATCTTTCCCAAGAGTAAGCACGGCTGAGTTAGGATCCACAAGATTTCCACAGTAGATATTGCCAGGAGAAATTTTGCAAGAGTGATATTTTTGAAAGCAGAGCACCAAGACATTGGATTTGGTCATTGTTTACACAATGGAATTGTCCATCTCCTTCTGGTAAAACTACTGTCTACTTTCCTGAGTCTGAGGAGAAAGCCCTCCTGGTACTCTCCTGAGTCTGGGAGAGAAATAACAGTTTCAGAGAAATATAATCTTGGCATTAGCAGTGAATCATAAAGGCGCTTTAGTTCAATCTCTTATGTAAAGTAAGCATTCTTTCTACAAAGTCTTGGATAAATACTGAGATTCAGAGACAAGAATTTTGTATTTTTAGAGACAGCTATCTCCATTTATTAGAAAAATTACCTCTTAATAAGTTCCTTTATATAGAAATCCAAAGAACTGTGGTCTTGTAATATACAGTCATCAGTCTTGATTCTGGCCTCTGGAACCAGCCAGGGCAGGTCGAATGAATCCTTCTTTGACGTGGAAGCACCTGACATACTCAAATGTAAAAATCATGCCTCTGTGAAGACATCCCTTCTTCAGTTCAGTTGTGGCTGGTCCATGTATCTGTTCCTCCACAGATGGTTTCCAGAACCCTCCTATCCTTGTCAATTTCCTCTTATCATGTTCCTTCTTTAAATCTGACTGTTCAAACTGGATCAAGCACCCTGTAACTAGCCCGACTAGTTTACTTCCCTTGATCTAGAGACCATTTCTAACAAGAAAACATTGGCTTTCTTTGTAAAGTGTCAGATGATTGGCTTCTATTTGTGCTTAGTTACCACCACTTTTCAGATTGGCTTTTTAAAGATTTGCCTTTGGTTTATGTGATTGCCATCTTTTTTCTTTTGGGTGGGTTGGTTTTTCTTTAGTTTTAAAATAATATTTTATTAGCTTTCCCCCGCCTTCTTTCTTGTCTGCTGGAAAGTTAGGTGTTCTCATTTTGGATTTATTTAACTGATTTTTTTTTTTACTGTGACTGCTGTACTTGACATTAAAACTCTTAAAATTCTTTCTGGTTAGTTTTTCTACCCACTTCCCAATTTTGGAGAATTTTTTGAATCTTGAACCTTTTAAACTATCATCTCTGATTTTCTGCCTCAATCCATCTAACAATATTTAAAAGAACAGTCCTTCTATATCCTTGTCTTAGAGTTTCACTTCCTTGCTAAGTAGGACCAACCCTCTCCAAGAGATTCTAAAATACCTATGATTTTCCTGATAAGCATCATAGGGCAGTGGTTTTCAAAGTGTGGCTGCCAGATCAGCATCCACCCAAGACTTGTTAGCAATGTCAATCCCCAGCTTCACCCCATATTTGAGGTGGACCCAACCATCTATGACCCTCAAACCTTCCAAGTGATCGTATCCAATGAAGTTTGAGAGCCATTGATTCTAGGGTATTGGAAAGGCAAATAAAAAGGAAACATCAAATATATAGGTGTCTGACAGTCTCAGTCTATTTGAGACAAACGTTATGAGGAACTGATGCAGATATCCTAATAACATGGGCTTAATATATTTACCACAAGAGGAAATTCCCTCTGGCAAACCAGAGAGAAGGACGCAGGTTGGATAGGCCCAGAAGCAGTGTTCCAGAGGCATGGACGTTTGAGGAAGAGAAGAATTCATCCAACCCCAGCTCAGGCAGAGAAGGAACAAGCTGGAGTGACCCCGAGCCATTGGTCAGGGCTGAGTTTCACAAGGATATTTTAAACAGTTGAACGTTTACAAAAGCAGAATTTCATACCTGTTTTTGTTTCCACAGGCCCATCTGCTAAACATCCCAAGCTGGAATTGGAAAGAGGGTGATGATGCAATCTGCCTTGCCGAGCTGAAGCTGGGTTTCATAGCCCAAAGCTGTCTGGCTCAAGGCCTCTCCACAATGCTCGCCAACCTCTTCTCCATGAGGTCATGCATAAAGGTAATGTCTTGTCTTATTAGAGCACATTAGCCCGGGATTCAATTTGTCATGGGGTTGACTAGAGAGCACAGCTTAAACTCAAAACAGATCGATGTGCTTTAACCACTTTGGTTAAGGAGAAATTCCTTGTTACAGATTTGGGCATGAGGCCAGCTGCTTTCAAAATTATGTTTTTATTTTTATTTGGCACATCCACGGCCATTAAATGATTGTTCAAAGCATGATCCTTTTTTTTCATGGATAAACCACATGTTTATCTATCAACAAAGCCTCTGCTGTTAAAACAAAAATATGATTTATATACATTCCATATGGCACTGGAGCGCCCAAAGAAAAGAATTATCATTTTACTCTTTTATATCAAGTGGCTGGTGGACCTCTCACTGTGAGGATAAATGCAGACCATGTGTTTGTGCCGAAGCCCAAACCCCAACAACTTAATTCATTTATTTATTTCTGTACAATCAAGGAGGCCAGCAGGGCTGACATGCCATGGTTATTTGAATGGAGAGTGAAACCATGAACCAACTTCTTGGGAGCAGTGCCGTTGACACCAGGAGACAGGTGGTCTGGATGTGTTCAGCTCCCTGTCCACCGGGTCCCCCCCACAGCTGACAGGGAGGCCACTACCAAAGCCTAAAGTATCCATTGCCTGCTAGACACACTCTTGCAAGAAGAAGAAGGCCCCTTCTGTCCTTCAAAGTAAAGCCAAGCGTGCAGTTGTAGGCATTGACTGGGAGTCCATGCCTCTGCACAAGGAGCCTCTGCAGGGCAGGGCAATAGTAACACCAGGATAGTCCTCATTTGTTCTTATTCTGCGCAGTCCACATGGCGAAATCAGTGTAATGAAACGGACTTGCTTGAGCCTTTCTAGTTTGGGACAATTAACTCAGGATCTCAGTTTACATTTCTCTTCCAATTATAGAAATTTCCAGCCAAAGAAATAACATTTGAGGCTGAGGAAATTAGTTGGTCATCACCAGGTACCACAAAGGAGGCAGATGCTCTGCCGTCAAGGCAGGAGGCCTCTAGCTCTTGCTGTCTTTCCCTCTCTATCCACTGCCACCATTAAGTTATCTTGTAGTGCTGAAGAAACGGCTCTGCTTGAAGCGAGAGGACAAAGTACAAAGGACTCACTCTCACTTTTTGTAAGGCTGGCCAGTCAAGCTCCAACTTTAAACCCTGAGTTACATGGAAGAAGCATGTGTGATCCAAGGATTGAAAATAATAAAATCTTGAATTGGAACCAAAAAACTCTATTAGAGCTTAAATTCTGAGCACCCAATTTGCAGAAGGCTGTACATGACAGTGAAAGCCACGAGCAGAGTTCCCACGTGGATTAAACCGCTGGAGTATTACCACTGACCATTGAACGGGAATTCATCCTTGGTGTCAGACAGAGTGAATTGGAAAGTAGATTAATGTAGACATAGTTAAAATTTAACACCTTATCATTTGTTATCCCTTTTGACCCATTTTACATTTCTTCTAGTTTTTTTTTTTTTTTTTGATTGAGGGTTTTCTATTTTTTTTGTTATTGTTGTTGCTTTTTTGGGGTATGTGTTTTTCTGTATATGAAATCCAAGATAGGCAAATCTATGGAGACAATAACTGAACAGTAACTAGTTAGGTTTGAGGGTTATGGCAAGGGAGGTCAGGAGGAAATGTAAAGCTAGCAATAAAGAGTATAAGAGTTAAGAAAGTATTCTAAAATGGATTGCAGTGATGACTGAGAAACCCTTTTTAATGTTCAATCCATTGAATTGTGTGATATGTGAATTATATATATCAATAGAACAAAATCTTAAAAATAAAATCAGGAAAAATATTTAGCCAACAGATAATTAACATTGTTCTATGTAAAAGAACAAATTGTTTTGAAGTGCTTCCAATTACTTTCATTATATGCATAGCAATTTGTGACTTGATTTATAACAACCTATTCTTGTACTTACTATGTGTCCAGAGACCTCCACTAGGTGGGACTCCTGGATCAGACCCAGCTTACAAAGGAGAACATTACGTTCATTTAAATGGCTTCATTCAGGCTACCATTCCCCTGTTGAATGCAGGTGAATATAAAATGGAGGCAGCAGGGCAGTCTCTAGTGGTTGTGTTTGTGCTTTGGGATAAGCCACCAAAACCAGAGGTAGTAAAGTATCTTTATATTCAACAAAGAGCCCAGACCCAGGATGAAGAACTGCCACCAAGAGAACTCTATGGGCTGTCTCAGTCAAGCCCGGGTGATGAGTTCCTCCTCTAGGGATTGCCCATCGGAGCAGGCATGTGGTCCTAGGAGCTGGGTTCTGCTTCCTTGTGCTGATGTGACATGAACCTTGGCAAGGCCCACCACACATGGGGCACTGGCCATGCATATGTTTTGATTTTGTGGTGCCTGAATGGTAACTAAAGCTGCCTGTCAAGAAAATTAACAAACATCTGGGATGCTAGTTCCTCGGTGTCATTACCCACAGGGAGAACTTTTACCCAACTTCTCTCAAAACTCTGAAGGGCCTCATTTCCACAGCCAAGAACTTCCCCTCCAGTGGAGCTAATCCTGCTTCCAAGTTCCTATTGAGGAAGAGCATGTGGGAAACTGCAAGCCAGGCCCTGGTGTAACTGAACACACATTTCTCTCCTCGGGTTATATTACCATGTTATTTTTGTCCATGGCCAGCTTCCCCAAGTTAGGAAGCACCTCTCTGAACATGGCCTTTTGGCACTGAGGAAGTCTTTGGGTTAGAATTAACTAAGGTACATATCTAATAACCTGGAATGAGCAAGGATCTATCTGTCT